CTTAGTCACTGCATAGTTTGTAACTCTACGCATCATGGATAATCATTTAATGCTTCCTAATATGGAAGTGAAAGAGGGAAAGATTTTAAAAATAATTCCTCCTTTGAAATATAAATCTAATTATAATTCATTGGTATGTTTTTAGCCTTGAAGTCCCACAATAGAATATCTCTACACCTATTCTTTACCACAGACATTTTATGAAAAGAGTTTTAATGCTTTTATTAATACAAAAGTAATTTCTATAATTTTTGTATTATATATATATATATATATATATACTAATTACACACATATGCTTTCAGGTTGGAGGACCCGGAGGCAGATCTCAGACCATAGAACGGTCAAAGATGGATTCATCCTAGGGCTCATCATTCTACACAAAGTGTGCTTATTAGTGTCATATTATATATTTACATAGAGGAATTAAATTTTTTTCCCCACTGAATATCTTTGCATGTAATTGTGTATTTTGGATACAATTCAATATATTGCTTTTGTGCTCTTTTTCCCCTCAAATCTTTGATATCAAAAAGAATTATAGAAAGAGTATTGGGTGATTTCACTGTTTATCGATTGTATAAAATGGATACAAATAGATTTGAGACACACAGTGAAGCCTGTGTGACCGTTGATTTAGACAGCCATTATTTTATGGATATTTATATGCATTTTTTATACAAAAATTTTCTGCTAAAGAGCATATCAGTCATTTAAAAAAAGTATTTTATTTGTTGCAAAAGTTGAAGACTTCTGTATATAAATCTTTTTATCATTGACAGTTATGTGCTATGTCGACTTGCTATTTAATTTTAGGAAGAAGTTAAACTCTATAAATTATTCAAAAATAATAATTTAGAGTATAAGAAAAAACGTAGTTCTCGGATCTCTTAGAATAAAGAAGATGTTTTTACATTTACAAACAAGAAAAAAAAGAGAGAGAGAGTGAGAGAAAGGAAAATGCTTTTAATATATCGATATATTACTTTAAAAATAAAAGTTAGAATTTCTCCATTTTGTTGCTAATATATCTCTTCATTAATATAGTTAAATTTATGTCATAACAGATTTAATTATAAATCATGTTTACTACTTTATTTACAGGGATGAGAGTAGTCAGAAAGTAAAAAAAGAGGAAATCCAAGAATGAATGACTATATATATATATATACTATATATATCTAAAAAATTGACAAACAAAGTGCGATTTTTGAACTTGTAAACCGTGTGATTATAAATCCCGATGATTATTTTTAAAGTTGTATGAATATGAATCACATGCGTGATTTTAAATTGAGAGAATATGAATCCCGATATGAGGCTTTAAATCATGTGAATATGAAACTCTAAATCGAATTTAAAAAATGCGAAAATACAAAACATGATGCATAATTTTTAGATCACGTAAATACGAATCACGATGAATAATTTTTAAATTGCACGAATACGAATCCCAATGTCTAATTTTTAAAGCACGTCTAAATACGAAAATCGATGTTTGATTACAACCGCAAAAACTATTTAAGACATTGGATTTTAACTCGCATGAATACGAATCACTACAAAGGGTTTTGAAAGCACGTGAATACAAATCGCGTTATTCTATTTTTAAATCTCGTAAATAAGAATCGCAATGTAGACATAATAAAAAAAATTAAATGCAAGGCATACAAAATACGAGATTAATTGAATGAGCAAATAAATATTTTTACCGCAAATCCACCTCTATTTATTATTTGTTTTCGTTTGCTTTCACGCCAGAAAACAGGAAGCAGTGACGTCTGAATTACGAAAATATGAGCTATCTGGCGGACGGATAAAAATACGGAAAATCTTATTTTCTGTGCGTAAAAGCGGAAAAAATAGCTAAAATAGTAAAAAATGCAGAAGGGTTAGCAGCTAGGACGTAGTTTGAATTTTCTGTTTATCTTTGAAAATCGTAAATAAATATAATTATTTTATTTCAATGACTGAAAATTAAAGAAAAGCGGGATATTTATATATATAAAAAAAACGAAACTTTAAGAGAATCGGGAGTTTTTGATAAAAAGGCTTCAATTCAAGAGACAAAAGCAAAAAAAATCTTATCCCTGTATAAAGGTCAACCAGTTTTATCCCAAGGAAATGATTTTTAGAGAAACTTCAGAGGGAAGAATGAGGACTTCAAAAATTTCACTCTGTGGAAAGTTAAATTTCTCATAAAATATTTTAACTTGTGCAAAAAATTTTTTTTCGCTGAAGTTAGCTGGAAAAATGAAAAGATCTGAAAAAAAAAAACGCGGAAATCTGCGGAAGAATCACATCCCTGTATTTAAATTGTGAATTAACTCTGAATAAAAAGCTGTACTCCATGAAACATTTAGTTATTTGTAATGAGCACATTAAAGACACTGTAGGCACAGGGACGTTGATAGTCTCTCTCAATAGTTAGAAATCTTAAATGCCTTGTATTTTCTGACAAATGAAGAAAACAGTTTCATGAATCATCGGTTTGAATTATCTACGTTAAAAAAAGCTAAAATTTAAAAGGAAAAAAAATCCTTTTGCAGATATTTTAACAAATTAAAGAAATATTTTTCAAAAGTTTAATGAAATGAAAACTATTGTAACTAGGTGTGTACTTCAATTTGAGTTCCTTCAAAATTAGATAAATAGCTCTATGTAGTGTATGTATTCTTTGACTCTTTATTTCAAATAATGGCATATTTTTTCCCCAATATAAACCTAGTTATTGTTTGTGTTAAATGAAAAACTGATTATTCATTTAATGTTTCAATAAAACATATCTTTTGAAGTCTTCAAATATTTAGAAATCTTAACAATGAAAGGGACTATTCTTTATGATGAGCTTTTGCTTCTGTGTTCAAATTGTTATACTGCTGCCATTTCATCTTTATTTTCGTTCGTTATATGTGCATATTATATAAATTCAATTCCCCCCATGATTTGAAGTCATTTTAATTCATGCAAAAATTTATGTGCCTTGCAAAACATTTAAGTCAGAAGTGTAATGTGGTAGTGTGAAGTTGTCAATGATAATTTTTTTTCAAGCAGTTTAATGGTGCAATTATGTATTTTAATTGAAGTAATATATCTATTACAAAAAGTAAAAGTTTTAAAGTTTATTTTTTAATGTCTAAAGAATATGACAAAAAGTTATAAAATTTACAGCATGCGTAATTTTTAGGCATGTTGTTGTCATCAAAATATTTCCTCAACATTGTACCTGAACAGTTAGCTTGAAATTTATATACACATTCAAGTTAATTTTACTGTCAAATTTGTAAAATGATTTTTTTTTCACAAGTAAACACTAAATCAATTCTTTACATAAGAGGAAAAGCTGAAATATCTCCACTTTATAGAATTCGAACCATTTTTTTATACGCAGAAACTATTTTAAGCATTAGCAGTGCATTGAACTAGTTCTGTGTTATAGATACTGTGTTACTTTAAAATAGAATTCTACTTTGGATTAATTTTAACTATTTCTCCATTGTGTGAATTAGATGTCATAGCATTTTTACAATAAGTATCTTATCATATTTATCTAAAACCTCCTAAATCAACCTTATGTTCTAATAGAAGTCAAAAAGATCTTATAAGATTTTTTTTAGTTTGTATAGCTAATAAGCAAATTTATTTATAATTATAATTTATTTATTATTATTTCTATATTTAGTCACTATTTTTTATATTCATTTTATTTTTGCTTTTCTTAGCAGTTTTATATACCTAAACCAGATATATTTTATTTTTTTTTAAACTGAAAATTTCTTATTTTTTGTGAATTTTATTTGAGCTACGAGGATTTTATAAAAAAGTACTTCAAGCATTTTGGATAAAAGACGTTCAATAGAAACTAAGCTCTTGAAAGCTATGCATTTATTCATAGAAACTATAGTAAATTTGTCTATTTTTTTGTCATAAAATATTCCCCATCTTTATTGCAATTGAATTAAAAGTCATCTATGTCTAATTGTCATCAGACTACAGTAGTACAGAAAATTTGTTCTGCTTTTTATCTAAAATACTCGTATATCAAATTGAATATTTCTGTAATGAAACTTTTTCTACCAAATGAAAACAATATTTACTACTGATTCAAAAGGTTTAATATGAAATATCGTATCTTATGAACAAACATAACATTGTTTTTTTCTGCAATAATGTTTGCTTAAAAGATTTTTTTTCCCAAGTTAAAATTTTGTTTCTGCAGGTAAAACACTATATGACCCTCAGCAGGCTAAACATTTGCTGAGTATCACTCTCTTATCAAAATAAAATCTCTTAAGACAATCACCGAACTATGCAAAATCTAAGATTCTACTATAAAGAGAGAAGGAAATATGGATAAAATTTGTACTGTAAAAACATGATATAAATTACTATTTGTATAATATACAGTTTTTTTTTAAAATTTTAAGTATTTTAGATCTTGTTTTAAAATGCTTAAATTTCTTTGAAGTTGTAAGAATTAAACAAAATATATATTGATTGTTTGATGGTATTAACGAGTATGTTAAAATGACGGTGTAGCCGATGAAAATTGATTTATTTTCTTGTACATCTTTAAAAAGAAAGGGAAGAAAACTAGGATGCTCTGCCTCCTGTTCACCAACTCAAATTGCTTCTCATTCATCATTGTTTTCTTCCAAACATCCATATTTTCCACAAGAAAAAAAAAAACCTAAATAATTTGTTTTCAATTGACAGGTTTGAAAAATAATCATCTATACTTGGAAAAAAATGTAAACTTAGGAATACAGATTGTGAATCAATAAGAAGAAATAAAAGAAAAGTAATTTTACTTATTGACAAGACTTACAACATTTTAATTAATGAATTTTTTATCGCTTTTAATTAAAAAATTTTATTTCGAAAAATTTCAATTATTTGGCAATATGTAATCTCTTTCTCTATTTTGCTACTTTTAATTTACATCTACTTAAGTGTGAGCTTATAAAATAAAAACCTCATTAGAGGGGAATATATTCTCTACAAAACCATAGGTCGTTGTAAATATTTAAAGCAAAAAAATAATAAATAAAAATTTGCAATAACTTTCAAACAAATTGAAATTTTGAAACAAAATATTTTAATAAACTCATTAATAAAAATGGCTCTTTCAGTACATAAATTTTAACTCGGTAGTTTCATTTCAGAAGGATCTAGATTGAAGAATCATGGTATTTTTTCACTACAAGTTTAACAGTTAATAATTCTCAAACCAATTGTCAAATCTTAAATTTTTTTATTCCCTCGTACTCTCTGTACTTTGTTTACATACTTTTGTAATTTTAAAGTTTTTAAGTCTTATAGATGTTGTGCAGCAAAGCAAAAAAAAAGTTATGAAAATGTGCAAAAATGGAACTTTAAATTGCAATAACTTTCAAAATTATTGGAATTTCCAATAAAAACTCTATGTTAAGTTCATTAACAAAAATGGCCCTTTCAGCATGCTAAATTTCAACTCTGTAGTTGCATTCCTGTGGCCTGTAGTGCA